AGGGTAGATTTCATAATCAATTACAGTTGACATATTTAGTCAAAACCACTAAACCACCCAGAGTCGAGACAAAATCTGATTCATGAGAAAGATCTATCGAGATTAGTCAAAATTTGTAAAAATTTTGTAAAGTTGACAATATTTCTTTTTTATTCTTTTCTCTAACATTCTGGGTTAAATTTCGACAGATCCATCAGAGCTTCAGTTAGTTAGTTAAGCGAACCTACGAGGGTCAAACTGAAAGTTCTTAGAAAATCAAAAACTGATTACATTAGCCAGTTATTAGTTTTATTATATCTTTTCAAAATATTGTCCATTCACGTCAATACACCGCTGCATGCGATGGAACCACTGGGAAAAGCACTTTGCCCACTCGTCCTTAGGGGTCTCTTCAATGGCGTCGCGATACGCAGCCACCGCTTCTTCAGCATTCATAAACCGCTTTCCTTTAAGTTTTTCTTTAATTTTTGGAAATAAATAAAAATCACAAGGCGCGAGGTCGAGGCTATACGGCGGGTGACCCAGTAATTCAACGTTTGATGTCGCCAAATAGTCGATCGTTTGCTTGGCGGTGTGCGACGAGGCGTTGTCGTGGTGAAGGAGGATCCTACTGCGAGGTCGTTTCTCTCGAACTTTTTCCAAGACAAGTGGCAAACAATTGGTAGTGTACCATTCTGCAGAAACTGTTTTTTGATCCTCTAACACAATTGTTGCAAAATGATCTATCCTTCCAAAGAACGAGGCCACCATTTTTTTTCCCGCACTTCGATCTCTCTTCACTTTAGTTGGCAACTCCTCGAAAGGAAACACCCACTGAGCAGATTGTCTTTTGGTTTTAGGATCATAACAGTAAATCCAGCTTTCGTCACCTGTTAGTATGTCGAACACAGCATTTGAGTCACCTCCGTTAAATCTTTCAATCATTTTACGACACCAATCCACACGATGGAGTTTTTGAGCCTCAGTCAAATTATGAGGTATCCACCGGGCGCAAAGCTTCCTGACCGCTAAATGTTCGTGGAGGATTTTGTGCACTTGACTCATACCGATGCCTAAGCTTGTCCGAATCTGTTGATAGGTCACTCTTTTGTCAGTCTCTATCATACGCCGCACAACACAGATGTTATCTTCAGTCGTCGCCGTAGAAGGCCGTCCCTCACGTAAATCATCAGTGAGATTAGTGCGACCACGTTTAAACTCATTAAACCAGTTGTAAACAGTCGCACGAGATGGGGCTTCATCGTGAAAGGCCAATCGTAGTCTATCATAACTTTCTTGTTGACTTAAATGACATCGAAAGTCATAAAAAATCATTGCACGAAAATTTTCTCGTGTTAAATTCATGATGACGTGACACAGACAATTTTCAATTTGCCGCCAAATCGTAAAACAAATGACAAATGAATGAAATATATACTCAGTAATATTGGCAAAGAGTTATATTTTCAAATTTTAGAATTATTTTTTTATTATATTGTTTATAAGTGGCCAGTTCTAAGAACTTTCAGTTTGACCCTCGTATATGAGTAGGTACTCCAATTTTAATAAAATCTGTTATATTGTATTCATTGTTATTTTCGTACATCGTTATGGATAAAAAGGAAGATTTAAAATGACGCGTCCGAAACTCCAATATTGGATCACAATAAAAAAATCTGGGCCTCTCTTGTCGTTGACCGGTGGCCGAACTGAAACAATTAATGTTAAAAAAAAACCGAGTCACGTAATTGTAATTTGATGCTAATTTGATGAAAAAAAATAACCAAGTGTCTGTTAAATCACACGCAGTATGGTTTCTTAGTTGCCCATTGTACACCCAGCAACGTCAGGCTGCCACAATATGTCAACCACAGTTGATTTTAAGCTCTACCTGAGGGTAGTTTTAAAATCATGCACTGAGGTGCATTAAGGTTTAAAATCAAATGGAGAAATATGATAGATTTTTATAAAAACTTGATTTGCTGTTGAATTTACTAAATATTATGTACAATATTCTATTTTACATGACCATAAACATAAGTAATCTATGATGTGACAGCGCAGAAGATTAATAAAATTGTGTACAGTGCGGCAGGCATAACTTCGGGTCCCGGTGGTGTTAATAAGTCTAACTACTATCGATAAACCTTAATCAACAAATCTTCTCTCTTTATTGTTTTTTATTCCACTTTGAAAATATTATTAATAGATAAGGTTTAGCGTTGGAGTAAATTTACACTGAGACTGCTCTTAGTATTAGTCAAAATTCATATTATTAAACAGAGACTTGGCAAAGGTTAACCTAGTACGAGGTTCTACTGGAGTAATATTTACTCCTAGAAAGCATTAGGTTTGCTTATTCTCTGTGTAATATGAATTTGGACTAATCTAAAATTGCAAATTTAGCGTAAATTAACTATGACGCTAAACCTTTACCTATTACTATTAATAAGCGACAGTGCTATAAATTTTAACTATATAACCGCATAGGTACTTACGATTAAACCCCAGCTAGAGAGCTCGACTATTTAGATACAAGCCGCCGTCGCCTCACCAGCGATAGTTAATTACTTATTGTGTGGGTCATATCTTGCTAGCTAAATATGACTCACTTTCCACTTTTCGATTAAGTTAAAATTTTACATACACTTAAAATTTAGATAACAATGTATAATGTTTTTATGGACGGAGCTAATATAATGATGGACCCGGGAAGTAGGTATGGGACAGTAATATTTAGGCGAAGCAACACCACTGAATTTGTGCTTGTTTGATATGCAACAATATATCTTGACGACTTCCCTAGCCGAGTGGTTCGCATGCCAGGTTCCAGCTTTGATTTTCGGTAGTACCAATGCGAAAAATAAACTTTTCTATAATGTCTCGAGTCTGGATGTTGTTGTATCTTCATTGCTTAGAATTTCGATAACACAAGTGCTAAAAGCTGTGATCAATCTATGGGAATGTTTATTTCGTTGTTATTTATTATCTATTGTATTTTGACTTTATTATTTGCACATCGTCTTGACGATATAATATGCTGGTCTAAAATTGTAAAATTATCATATAACCATATCGTCAGCGAAGTCTTAGTAATAGGTAGAACCCTAAAAAGACAATCGATAAACACGGAACCAATCTTGCCATTCTGTAAAAATCCAGACCCGAATTCGAATTCACTCAGGTATATGAATTGACTTCAAAAACCTCGTGTTTCGTGGCATAAGTGAAGTGGATTTCGAAATTACACATGAATATAATATCTGGGACGCGTATAATCAATTAATTTTGTTTTGTATTTTTATACAAAAAATGGAATCAATATAATTTCTACACTAAATGACGATAATTCGGATACATGAGTAAATTCGAATTCGGGTCTGGATTATTACAGAATCGCCCTGCTGTATAGGGTCCGAAACGTCAAGAAATCAAATATAAACGGACTAATATCCCGTTGCGCAAGCGTACATTAAAATTTTCATTAGTTTAAAGCCACATTACCCATACAATTTTGACATTCATTAGAGCTTAAGGGCGTCATTAAACCTTAATGGACGTTTGTGCAACCACCGTAAAACCGTTTAAAATAGTTTCTTTTAATGAGTAGCGTGCGTAAAAACATAATCAATTTTGCATTCACAATGCTATACTGAATAATATTGTTAGTGAAAACGCTTAAAAATTCCAGTGCCAGGGACAAAGTGGATTTTTTAGCACTTTTCATTAAGAATATTCAAAAATATGTCAAATATAACATTATTCATTATTTTATTTATTTATTATTTTATTTTATAGGTACACTGTAAGATTACAATCAATACCGGATTTATTATAAATGTAATAATGTCTTTTGTTTTTATGTTGGAAAGGCTGTTGTTTTCTCGAGTTAATAAAAAAAATACAATAAGTATAATATAGACTCTATCTCTACTTTACTCTATATTATAGATATAACTATTACTATATTATATATATCTATATTATGATAAAACTATTATTACTTATTGAGTTTTGTAAGTCTAGACGGTAATCCCGACTAACTGTACACAGCATAATTAATGATTAGAGTACGTAGCATTTAATTAAATACATTTGTGTGAAATTGTTATAAAGAATTGCTTTGCTTTGGTAAAGTAGTACTCTTTGCGAACATTTAAAATCGTTGTAATTGCTATTTGCAAAAACCATTATTTTTTCAACATTTCGTTATTATTATCATACCCTTAGGTAACTTTGATTAAAATAGATACCCTGTTCGTGAAACCCACCTATCCTAACCGAATTCGTTTTGTTAACTCCATATTATTTTAATTTTTGAAAAATGCTTAGCACTGTTTTAAGAATTTGCCTATGAAAATGTGGTTATTTTATTTCACACTACAATAAACAATTCAAGTAGATCAGTAATGAATATTTAGATAAAACACTTCTTTTATTTTAATTATCTTAAATGTAGTAATTTACATAACTTCCCAACCTTGATAAAACTATTGTTATTTAAGTTCTCACGCAAATAGCCGACACCGCTTGAATTATTATCACGTATATTTGTTTGGTTGTATTGTGGTGGTATCTGTACTGTTCAAGATCACTTCGAAATTAACTCTAGTTCATAACCATAACCATTAATAATAATAATAAGTCCATGTCATAACAATGGTATCATCGTAAAAATGTTAGTAAATAAAACTACCAATGCGAGTGCTCTTTGGTACTTCATTTCAAGTCTATTGTCTTATTATATGTATACTGATACAGACAATTATAATTAAGCTGTAATTATACGATGATAGTGTGTAAAGAAAAAAATACTAAAAAAGTTAATTAAGTTAAAATTACAAAAACAGATTGTACTAAAATATGATTGATATGCCAATTAAATACCTATGCTGTCATAAAATATGGTTGCGTGTAAAAAGAGCTTTATTATTGCAAAAAGGCGTGCGCGCAATTCATCTCGTCGGGCGAGCCTAATGACGGCACAATAGCCACCAGTCAGTATCGGACCGTCCGCCCGCATGCCCACGACGCGCCGTCTCCTCACCCCGCGGTGGTTCCGTTCGCGACGCTCTCCCAACCCCGAGGAGCTCGATGACGTCAGACCCAGGACCCTCCCTCGTAGCGACATGGACCGTCGGCCGCGAGTTGCACGTGTCCTCAGCTCCCCCGCTCGAACTCAACACCAAACTAATCCACCGCCTGATGGAGAATCCCTCGAACGAGCCTTCCCCTCCATGGGACACCTCGAATACGTCCTCGCCGGCTCATCACCACCCGCCGAAAGCGCCCCGAACATGTACGACAGCTTCGAAGAGCCACCCTTAGATTTAACTGCGCATATTTGCGGAGATTCACTACGTCAGAGTGCCCATGAGCAGATGCGAGCCGTCGGTGGGCGTCTCAGACTCTTAGACGAACTGGAAACGGCAGTCATAACATCTGAAACTGCAGCCACTACTTTTTCCACGGCAACTGATGCGGAGAAAAATGTGTGTCTATTTTGGGCGTCGTATCTTAAGCTTGCTAATTTGCTGCAGCCACTGATCGCCGCCGGCGCCGATCCGTTGTACTTCGACGCACTAGGATTGTCACCGCTGCATGTTGCCGCGTTTAGTGGCTCTACGGAATGTACAAGTTACCTGCTCTCGTGTGGAATTGATCCCAATTATATGCCGCGATGCTTCGCTCCGTTGCATTGCGCTGCTTTTGGGAATTCTGTGCAAGTGGCTAATTTATTAATCAGTCGGGGAGCTTCAGTACATGTAGCAGTGAAATATATAAATTGTGAAGGCGGCTTGCTTCATTGTTCAGTCAGAGCAAATTCAGTGGAATGTTTAAAATTATTCATATCTCATGGTGTCGACGTGAATCAAATAGAGCCGGGTGGTACTAACGCTATTCATCTTGCAGCAGATTTGGGTATGACACAGTGTTTGTCAATATTATTGGATACTCCTGGCGCTGATCCGAATGTAAGGACTAGAGTGGGAGACAGAGAATCGACAGCTTTACATTTAGCTGCCGACGGCGGCTTTGTAGATTGTGTAGATTTATTATTATCTAAGGGTGCCAATGCCAGTTTGAAGAATCATAGAGGATTTACTGCTTTACATTTAGCAGCTCGATCGGCAAGTTTAGAATGCGTAGAATCTTTACTCAGAAAAGGAAATGCGGAGCCAAACGCAATGGACTTTGATATGCGTACGCCTTTACACGCTGCCATAGGCAAATCGGATTGTGCTTGCGATATCATAGAGACACTTATAAGTTGGGGAGCAAATGTTAACCAGAAGGATGAATACGGATTTACACCATTGCATTTGGCTGCACTCGACGGTTTGTCTGCGTGCGTTGAGACATTAATCTATCACGGAGCTGACGTCACAACTCGGTCTAAAAAAGGAAATTCGGCTCTTAACGTAATTGCTCGAAAAACGCCCGCGTCGCTTGCAATGATAACAAGAAAATTGGATTGTGCGATTACACTGCACCATTCTCAAACGAGCAATAGAGAAGTTGAACTGGAACTCGATTTTCGCAGTATTCTACAACATTGTTATCCGCGCGAAATAAGTTACCTGAACACATTTGTTGATGAAGGTCAAAAGGAAGTTTTATTACATCCACTTTGTTCCGCATTCCTTCACATAAAGTGGGAAAAAATTCGCAAATACTACGTAGCGCGCCTTTTTCTGAGTTTTATGTTCGTTTTATGTCTCACGTTATACGTTTTGACTGCGCTAGCGCATAATTGCTATAACGGAAGCAAGGACATGGAGGAGACAATACAGGAACAAGAATTGTGTCAAAAACAATCTATACTTGGTGATCTGTTGAGAAAAAACCCTTTTGTTATAGAAATGCAGTGGTGCGTTTTGGCAGGAATTACAATTTTCGAAATATTTAGAAAGGTTTATGGTATTGCTGGTTACTCTACAGTGAAACAATATCTCATGCAATCCGAAAATATCATTGAATGGTTTGTCATAATTAGCGTATTCCTCATATCTTATATTTACACGAATATCACGTACACGTGGCAAAATCATGTTGGAGCCTTCGCCGTATTAGCTGGCTGGACGAACCTGATGATGATGATAGGGCAACTACCTGTTTTTGGAACGTACGTCGCTATGTATCAAAAAGTACAAAAGGAATTTGCTAAATTATTGATGGCTTATTCCTGTATACTGATCGGATTCACTATAAGTTTCTGTGTAATATTTCCGGACTCGTCATCTTTTGCCAACCCGTTTATGGGCTTCATAACTGTCTTGACTATGATGATTGGAGAGTTAAATCTGGATCTATTACTGAACGAGCCTGACGGAAACGACCCGCCCGTTCTCTTAGAATTTTCCGCACAGGTTACATATGTATTATTTTTAATGTTTGTCACAGTTGTATTGATGAATTTGCTAGTTGGCATAGCGGTTCATGATATACAGGGTTTGAGGAAAACAGCGGGGCTTTCGAAACTAGTTCGGCAAACGAAATTGATATCCTATATGGAAATGGCGTTATTTAATGGATATATGCCTAAATGTTTACTGAAAATTCTGCATTCTTCAGCGCTGGTTTCGCCGCAAGCTTACAGAGTCGTTTTAAGTGTTAAACCATTGAATCCTTCAGAAAAAAGATTGCCTCGAGATATAATGATGGCAGCATATGATATCGCTAAAATGAGAAAGCAATACGGACATACTATATCATCAAGTGGCTCGACTACCGGCGCATACTCGTGTTTCAAAAAATATGAAAATAATAACGATTCAGGGTACAGAGAGTACGGTTACTCAGGATTAGGGAGTCTCCAGGCTAGACTAGACGAAACGTCCGAGAATGTGCGCCAATTGACTCAGGAAATTAAGGAATTAAAGAAGCTAATAAGCGCCCAGCAGCTCGTCATACAGCAGGCTCTAGCCGGCTCGATGGACAACCGTTGATGATATAATGGGCGACGGAGTCATTTAGTTTCAATGCCAACTGTACACAAGTCAATAAACTATAGCGAGCGTGCATTGTCGTATATTTGTACTCGTTTAGACCCTATTGTGGACTTAAATCTAAGTGGTGATATTTTTTGCTTTACATTCACGTAGTTTCTAAGACAGTAGTATTAGGGTATTTAATGCCATGTTTGACCGTTTGTAACGCAGGACGTACGGACACTGTGATTGTAGTATAACACTTTGTATTGTTATTAACATTGTGATGGCAATAAATTTTTGCAATACATTATTATTTGTCGTTATTCCTTCTGTGTGTTTGGGCCTTAGTGACGGTTGCAAATTGATATAAATAAGGTGTAAGGCGACGGCGCAGAGTGACCCTCGGCTTGACTATTGAGAATAGTAGGTACGTAATGGTTCTTAGGTATCTAACTACTTTATATACGTTGATGCACTAAGCGTACCTACCTAATGTTCATCATTAATCTCACCTTATTTTATTTCCGTTAGTGGAGGAAGAAACAATGTGATCAAAAGAAAAAATTAAGTTCCTAAGTTTGGTAAAAGTATATTTGTCATGTATTTCTATTTCTCGTATTATTACTATTTTGGCGACATGTGACGAAAAGTAAGGAGTGGTTTAAATTAAATATGAAGGAGGCGACCCAAGTTCCATACATAGTTTGCCACACAAAAGTATATGCGTCACAATCAATTTGCATTTTCTATCAATTTATTATCCAACATTAAGAATGAATAGCATCTATACCTCATATGTCTTATGCCGTGTCATAAATAAATATTATTCATACACTAGCTTTTGCCCGCGACTTCGCCTGCGTGGTAAAGTTACTTTGAAACTGAAACTGAAACTCATTTATTGCTTTCATGTGGTGAAACAGATGTTGTTTTTTTTATGTACCTTGACATGAACCCTGATAAGGGCACTGCAACAATAGTTACATTAAACTATAATTATCATAAAATCAAATTAAATATAATATAGAGTATGTATCATGCATAACAATAAAATAATAACAAAATTAAAAAGTTTTTTGCATCCAAATTGTCATTACTAATATACTGTTATATAATTATATTTAAAAAAAAAATTCACTGTTTATATATAATTATCAAATTATAAATTAAAATTTAAAGGGGTGGAAATGAATGTATGGAATTACTTCCCGTGTCACTGAAAAACTCCTGTAGCGAGTAGTAGCATTTTTGTGATGGATATTTTATTAGGTTATTTTTGAAAACATTAATGTTTTCGATTACTTTTATATTGTCGGGAATAGCCTTATATATCTTGACGGACATAGAATATGGTCCTGTGTTTACCATTTCTAGTTTTGATACTGTTTTTTCCAGCTTGTATTTAGGTCTTAACCTCGATGGGCGGGACTGTATAGGGTATAAATTTATATTTTTTTGAACTGCTAGACCTTGTTGCAAAATGTATATAGATGTAAGAGTTAAAATATTAAATTTTTTGAAAAAAGAACGGCAGCTAGTCAAAGAATCTATATTTGCAAGTATTCGGATACATTTTTTCTGTAGGGTAAATGCCTTTTTAGCATCAGTACTGTTGCCCCAAAGCGTAATGCCGTAGCTGAGCCAAGCATGTGCGTATGCATAGTAGGCAGAAGTAGCAGTTTGAAGATCTGTAGATTTTTTTAATTCCGAAAGAGCATATGTAAAACTAGACAATTTACTAGTAATTTTTTTTACGTGTTCTTTCCAGTTTAAATTGCTGTCTATAATTATTCCTAAAAGACTATAGGAATCGACTGTTTCTAAAAGTTTATTATTAAATTCGTAATTAACTTCTAAGGGTTTCCTTTGGTGAGGCCTGAATTGCATCAATTTTGTCTTTTTTAAATTAATTTCAAGGTTATAATACTTAAGCCAACTAGTTATCAATGCAAAATTGGAATTTAATAATTCGTTTAATTGTGTGGTATTTTGACATGGTATTATTAAGGATACGTCGTCTGCAAAAAGGATACATGGAATATCTAGCAGACTGGGCAAGTCATTAACGTAAATTAAAAATAACAGACATCCGAGGACACTACCTTGGGGAATGGCATGATTTAGAAAAACTTTGTCAGATCTCAAAATTTTTATTTGTCCAGTTTGATGGTCATAGGACTCTATGTCAACATATTGAACTCGTTGTTGTAAATATGATGTAAACCACTCGTGTGCACTACCTCTTATTCCTATGTTAGAAAGCTTACTCAGAAGGATTGGATAAGAAACCCTATCATAAGCTTTACTCAGGTCTAGCAAAACACCTACAGCGTGCTGTTTATTGCCAATTATTTTCAATAATTCATTGACATATGAATTTACTGCCAGTCCTGTAGAACGTCCTTTACGAAATCCATACTGTTTGATATGGAATATTTGATACTTCTCACAATATGAGTAAACCCTTTTATACATAATTGTTTCGAATATTTTTGAAAGAGAAGTAAGAAGCGCTATTGGTCTGTAATTATTGCAGCAAGTTTTATCGTCTTTTTTATGTAGTGGTTTAACAATGCTTACTTTTAGTAGTTCCGGAACAAATCCTTGGGCAAGTGACTGATTTACTAAGAATGAGAGTGGCTCTGCAAGTTCATCTGCACATGATTTTATTAATGCCGGTGGTATTTCATCAAATCCGAAGCTGTTTTTATTCTTTAATTTTTTAATTACTTCATTTATTTCATTGCTAGCAGTGGGATATATAAATATAGAATTTTCTTTACGAGCAGCAATTTGCGAAGGAATATGCAGTGTGGATGCTCCCACTGACGAGAAGTACGTATTAAAGTGGTTCGCAATCTTTACTGGATCATCACTGAGCGAATTATTAATATTTAGTAATAAATTCTGTTTCTGTTTATTTTTTGTTTTATTTGTTCGTTCTCTTACTATTTGCCACATACTTTTTGTAATATTTTCCGACTTTTTAATTGTATTTTTATACTGTAATTTTTTTGAGACATAAACTGTTCTTTTTAATATTTTTTCATATAGTTTATAGTGCTGTTTTAAAACAGTATTATTTGATTTTAAAGTTAATATTTTGAGTAGACGTTTATGTTTGCATGATATTCTTAAACCTTTTGTTAACCAAGTGTTTTTATTTTTATTTTTTAATTTAATATTAATTTTTGTAATAGTATTGTTGAGAACGTGCTGTATTTTTTCATGAAATAAATTAAAATTATCATTTACTTTTTTATCTCGTTTAAGTATTTCAAACCAATCGATTTTTTGTAGTTCTGATTTATAATAAGCAATATTTTTTTTATTATAAATTCTTTTTTCCATATGCCAGATTTTTTTATGTTCATTTGTTTGTTCTAATATATTTACTAACACACCCCTATGATCTGAGAGTCCGTACTCTTTGGTAGTGGTATAATACGGCATTGCGGAATTCATCTCATGCATATTGGCAAATATTAAATCAATGCAAGATGATTGATGTTGGGGTGATTCTAGTTGGCTCTTTGATGTGTTGTATGAAGCCAAAGCTTTTCATAAGATTTATTAGATTTTTTCTAACGAATATTTATTCATTATATCGTGTAAAATACCTGAAGTAAAATTCCATCCCTTATTTTATCCCCTTAGGGATGGAATTCATCAAAATCCTTTCTTAGGGGATGCCTACGTCATAGTAGCTTTATGCAAGCAGTCTCAGCCCGATCGGTTTAAAATTGACAAAGTTTCATACAAACTTTAATCCCCTATTTTATCCCCTTGGGGGTAGAATTGATCAAAATCCTTTCTTAGCGGATGCACCGTCATATCATCTACCTGCATGCCATATTTCAGCCCCATCCTTCTAGTGGTTTGGGCTGTGCGTTGATAGATCACTATGTCAGTCAGTCACCTTTGAGTTATATATATTTAGATTCACTGCTATAATTAGTGGCGCTCTTAAGTTAAATCATTTTTATTTTTTCAATGAACAAAATGTTTATACAATTCTTCAGAAACCAATTAAATAAGAATCATTATCTAAATGTAATACGATTTTTTAAGATATAGCGACTTACGTGCAATTTAAATAAGAGTACATTAACAATAGCATTCATTTCCGTCTTCTTTTGTCACTATAACGTTGGTGTTCGATATAGGAACAAAGCTTTATGGCTTTATGGCAACAATTATTAAAAAAATATAATTTCGAGATATAATCGAATATCGTCCAATGGTTTACAACAACAATAGAATAAAATAAATATTAAGGGCGCTCCCATATAACAAACGTGTTTTTTTTGTTCGTTTTTGTTACGGAACCTTCATGCACGAGTTGACTCGCAGTTGGCCGGTTTTTTACCCGACTACGCAACGAAAAGGAGGATAATGTATTTATAAGTCTATGTATGTCTGTATCTTTGTTCCTATATGGCATTGTAGAGACCAAAAGGCTTGGCCAATTTTGATGATTTATACGTCAATCGATTTGCCTTAACCTTGCGAGTGTCACTAAACACATAACAGTAATAATTTTTTTTTGGTACCTCCCCTACATGTAAAGTGGGGATGATTTTTATTTTTTCGATTTCCCTATCTTCTGGGATATTGTTGGATACCTAGATCTTTCAAAAATATTGTTTGAAGAGTGCGTAGACCGTTTCTAGATATAGTGAGCTGTGGTTGACTTAGGTTCGCGAATTTTTGCTAAAGGTCAATCATATGTGGCTTTGAACCGAGTGAGGTCACTAGAGGGACTAATCAATAATATTAAATTTTGAAACACATGTATTCGTTTAAAAAAAGGTATTTACAGTATTTCACGTTATTGAAGTACAAAAATAAATTAATGTTCAACTACTTTAGTAGACCCAAATAAAAACTCTTTGATTTTGATAATTGGCAACAATTACAAATTACTTATGAACGTAAATAAAGAAAAATATTAAAATGAGTTTGAAAATAAAATAAAAACGTATATATGTTTTTTTTAAACATAACACAAAGATTATGGAAATATACTTAGGTACTCTTAACAAGTAGTAAATAAAAAAAAAAACAATATAAGTATCTGATATTCTACTGTTAAACAGCATGCAATAACTTAAACTATTTGTAGGTACTTAGCAATTAACTAATGCTTAATTTTCACCGTTTAAGCAGCGTACCCATGGAAAGCTTTAAAAAAGTAAAGCATTCTCCCATTTTCGTAATATTTTTCAATGCTCCTCCACTCCTATAAGCCATAGAGTGATATTATATAGCCTACGAAAACTAAAACGAAAACCTTTCTCAACACAAAAACAATAATTCAGTTCGTTCCAGTAGTTCCCGAAATTGATCAAACAAACTCTTCAGCTTTTTTATTAGTATAGATTATATGTCATTCAATTCATTTACTCATTAAAACATTTATAGACAGGTTTTTAAACGTGATTTATATAATTTTTGTTAATTAGTTCATCCAGTATGTTATTGGTAAATGTAATTTATTAGAAAATCTTGTGTTAAATTAAAAAAAAATTGTTATCTACAGATCTAAATTAAATAAACAACCACACCAGTTTTAAACACATAGTAGCATCATCTAGTGAAACCAGCCAATTGTAGTATTTTATTATTTGGCCAAATTAACAATTCCCTATTAAATTATGATATGCATTTAATAATAGCGAGTTAACTGTAATTAGTGCTGCGTAAACAGCTTAAATCATTTAATAATTGATTTAGAAAAGAATTACATGGGATATAATTAAAACGACAAATTGAATGAGGAAGTATTTAAAAAAAATAGTTCCCGAAATCAAACTAGATGTCGCTACGGTACATTCTTGATTTCTCCATGACAATCCTTCCGGTTTTCTTTCATCTTTAAAAGTAAATTAGTTTTCAAAACTCAATAAATAACTCATATTCGATTTGTACTTTTTCGTATTTGTATTGATATCTAAGTCTCGACTTTTTAAATTTCAGTTTTTTAATATGTAAGTTAGAAGGATCGGAAATGACTGTCTTTGGTCCATTCGTTTCCAGCAAAACTCAACTTTTTCTATAGTCGTCATCTATGGAGATGCTTTTTTAGTGTTTTCGTTTTTGTATTTAAATAATTCCTCATTGTAAATATGGTTACTATGGTAACGATTTAATTAACTTATGACTATACAACAGGGAGGGACTCATAGCTAAGTAAAAAATATTTGGTCTTAAAAACCACAATCGATGGCATTACATCCATCATTCAATATTTTACGTTTGTGAAAAATCCTGAATATAAAATAATTTGATTTCTTAAAAGGGAAACAAACCCTAAGCTCGGAGAAATGAAATAAAGGGTTATTTAACCTAGTTTTCGTATAATTACAAGTGGTCACAACGGGGAAGTATTTAAGAAATAAAAATTAGTTCTTGAAATTATACTAGATGTCACTCGTGATGTTTGAATTTTGTTTATGATATTCATATCATTAAATTAATAAATATATCATCGTTTGTGTTTCTTATAATATCTAACTTTCAAATTAATTTTAATTTATTTTAATCGTAAGTTTAAGTTGTTTATTATGTTACGTGTAAAGGAACGATGTTTGATTGATATGTCAACATTAGTGATGACCAACTTATTAATTGCTCGTATCTTTCATCCGAATTCAGGTTTGGAATAAAGAACAAAAAGCGGAGTGTAGAATTCAGCTTGTCTTTGTATGTGTCATTCATTATGCATCCACAAAACGAATGATATAAATATCAAAATTATTTGAGTCTAGGCTGTTACACAGTACTTGTGAAAGTCGAAATTTTGCCAATGGTTTGCAAAAATAAGGCGGGAGATCTTATACTGACAAAAATTGGCAAGAAACTCAGCACGGGCTGCTTTTTTAATTTCAACAATACAACTAAACTATACTATATTTGGGGGAACGTAAAGACTTAACGCATACGACACCATCGCAGAGATTTTAAGAGTGCATGACTAGTCTAGGTGCTTAATAAATAATATATTTCAATAAAACTGATTTCTAGAGTAGGTTGTGTAGGAATTCAATCAGTTATTAACAATATTATTGCAAGAACCAAAAAGCACATACCCAACGTACGAATTAATTTAAGAGCCATATTACATCTTAACTGTGATTTTTCTCGAAAACAAAAATAAATTAACAATTTTGACTTGTTGAATAGTGAAGAATAACTCTAGAAGTAAGTGGCAAAACTTTTTGGAAATTTTGCTCATCTTTTTAATTAAACCCAAAATTCCAGAGAAAGACTTTCATAAAATGCGCAAAGACACTTTTTTTGAGCTCCTGGATTGAGCTACTGTTTTTAACAAACTAAATAAAATAAATAGAATGATATCTCTTATTTACTGTGTATCTATGCTAATCGACGCCATATATTGACGTTTATGCGAAAAACCATAGAATAGCCAAATCCAAGTTTAAAAAATAATTAGTTCCCGAAATCAAACAGCTAGTCATTTCCGTTCCTTTCTATTCTTCAAAAATCTACTTTTGGTAGAGTCGCCATCTAGTGAGGTACTTTTTAGTGCTTTCCTTTTTTACTTAAAATACTTCTTCATTAGAAACAGAGTAAAGTATATGTATTTAAACTCGAAAACTCCAAAGAAGCTTTAAGACATTTTTAGTGAAAACAGAAGATTAATTTGATAATGCAGAAAATGAAGCTATACGTGCTAAGATCCCTTTGTCTATTAAACGAGACTACTAAATGTCAGATCGAGCTCCAGCAGCTGATGCGCGCGTCTGTCAAACTAAATACAAACTTTTTCAGAAGATCAATAACCTGAAGAGAAAGGAAAATCTAGATTCAGGTCTTATCTCTTTCGCCCAGTCGCTCATTCGTGTTTTTAAAAGCTATACTTGTGCCCGTTATCGATTGTTTCCGTTCATGTTAACTGCGACATTCATCCGCTCCAATGCAGGGCAGTTTCAAGATCCAACTAATAAACATGGGGACACGGGCGGCAGCCTGTAAGAATTTTTTCTTATAACTTCACCGCTTTAGCATTCGAAATCATCGGTGGACCGTCTCTCAAACGAGTTTATTGTCTATATTTTGAAGTGCGAATGTGGTGCTGAGCAAAAGTTCTAGCATCTTAATTTTTAAATATTAACTCACCAAACTAAACCTTTTTTTAAGTTTTATCCTCTGATATGATCATTAATATATCTATGAACATTTTGATTTGTACAACATCTGAGAGATGTTTACATAATTAAAAAAGTATGTATAATATTAATTCCAGTTCCACACATAATTAATAATGTTGTGAAAGTACCTATGATGCAAAATTCAATAGGATGTTTCATCAATTTTTCTAAATGAAAATATTTATTGTATTAGTAGTGAGTTTAATTAATTTTTTAGAGTAAACTCGTTTAGAGTCGGTCTCAGCAGCTTGCATGCAATAACGCATTTGATTTTTCAGAGGCGTCTGAATCGGGGAGGCCTTGTTGCATAGTCAAAGCTTTTTGTGTGTCCTAATGCAGCCTACGCAGGCAGATATCATGCAGTATGTATTGGAGCCGCTGAACTTGAAAGGTGAGCTCGTTCGGACGGGCGTTCTAGCTGTTGCATCTGGTGTGGATTTTCTGTATCAGACCCCAGTGGCACGACTACTTCCTAACGTCAGATCAGGGCTGTCATCTCTATGATTAAGGAATGAAGTATTAATGAGTATTTGGAATGTATAAAAGTTGTAGGTGTTGAGACATTTCATGATAGACAATGAAAATGGCTCTTTTATAGATTGATATAAACATATGTATAAATCTTTAAAAAAAATCTAGTTTTTGTAGGAGTATCAGATGGCAGCCCTCAATAGAAAGGTCTTACACTGCATCAATATCCCTTATTTGTTCTAGGAATTTTGCTGTAGTAAACTAAACCCATTTGCGAAACACCAATAGCTAGAAACGAGAAGAGATTTTATTACTTACTTAAACAACACTGTTTGGTCTTGTGGATTTCAAACACAATATTGAAAGTGTACTTGTAATAAAGACTCTTTTTGTATGTGTTAGCTTAGTTTTCGCTAACTTGGGCTATCCCTGGATTGATTGATGTCCCCTGTTCTGGTTGTCCTAAGGCTGCACGGTCCGTTGATGTTGATATCCTTTTCCATCTTGTATTCACCAGTAATTGTCAACACTTAGCACTTTATCCTATTAACTTATTTGACATTATCTCTGCTAGTTCTATGAGATTATCAAAAAAGCTAATGTGATGCAGTTCTAAATTGTTAACTGATTACTGGCCATGAGTGGTTGTGACTCTGTGTAGAGCGAACATGATACTTCAAAATGTTTGGCTACTTTGTTGTCTGAATATTGTCTGTGTGGCTCACCTTTCTATCAGGTTAGGCTATCCAATATCTGTTCTACCTGCTACTGCTTGTTAGTTATTTTACTATTATTATGTTTTAATATGATATATTTATTAACTCATGTTTAAAAAACACATTTGTTAAATTTAACTTTCATTAAAAAATAAGAAGATATTATATCTTATTTATTTTATTTGTATATAAAATAGCTTATTTATAATTATCAAAATAGCACAAGTTTGTTGTACATAGCCTTTATCTATATAATCTATAGCTTAAATATTTTATATGAATTTAAATTAACATAAAACAATTGCATTCATTACTTATATAGTTTTGCTATATGTCAACAGTCACGGCGAAGATCCGCAGCTTATACGATTGTCAGCTGCGGTTGATGCACAACATCCAGCCACTTCCGTCTGGCACTGACATTGCTAATACTGTCAAATACTTCTCACAGACCTTGTTAAGTAAGTGTCTCATGTTGGCTTTTACTGCCGATAAGATTGATAAAGGATACTATATACTTTCTTTTGTTTATTTTTAAGATATTTTATATTTAAAGGCCAGTTAAAAGCTTTCACATATACTTAATTGAAATATGTTTAAAAAGTAATATTATACACAATATTAAGAAAAAAATAACTAATTAACATAAGATTTAACTGGAGTAATGATGTATTGAATAAGTCTAAATTCTGCCTATGCGTCTAAATTCTAAATTCTGCGGATTCTGCCTACAAAGCCGAGGTTCAGTTTAGATAATACATCCAGCCTCCAAGTCAGGGGATCAAGATCAAGGACAAAGTCGATCACCTGTCAATTTAATACATCATATCAAATTCTTTAATTGTAAAAGATGTCAAAGGTCTACCGGCTCAGGAGAGGCCGTAATTCTAACGGTCCAGAGACTTAGAGTGCGATTGCAGAAAGGTTTGTCTCCAGCCTGGTACTGAATACCATTCTTTATATGTTATATTTGTTTAGGTGTCCTCAAAGATGTGCCCCGATCGCCGCTCGAGATGCTACGAGACGCAGACAATGACCCTGACAGGATGAGCCTGTATCCGAATCTCGACTACAAAGGCCTGTTTAATGCTATATCACAATTAGTAGATGCTGCACCACACTTGCAGTATGGAATACAAGGTGATTAGATAAGCTTTTGTGGTAGTACTTTTGATTAGTATGAATAGGGAATGTGCAAATACGCAATGTTCGGCGTAGATGGCACCACTGGCACGTGTAATGTAAATTTAAAGAAAAAAATATCTTTTTTTTTCTTTTGCTTCCCTCTTACTCACACGCAAATGATGTATCATTGGATGAAACTATAAGCTGTATCCAGCAACTTCGCCCTCGTAAATTAAAGTCTATATCAGCCGCGTAGTATACAATACATATAAATAGGTAATGTGTGCTAGAAAAAAGATAATTAGGCAGGGGGAGGCGTATAAACTAAAACAGATACCGGTATGATAAAATGTAGACGACACTTATCCTAATATCCTTTAAACTTGATCCTCCTAGTATTTTTGTAATTACACGATCTTTGACTCTACCGTAAAATATATTATATTTGATCAATTTCGCATTCATAATGCTATATTAAGGTTTATTGTTAGGCAAAAGGTTTTAAAATCCTATCTCGGCACCTGGGACGGTGAATTTTTTAATAATTCTTCTTTAACATATACAAAACTATTGTTTTTAGTTACATTTCTAAAATGTCAATGAATCAGAATGTTTCTGAAAATAATTGTTTCTTGTAGCGTTCGGGCAGGCGGTGTTGCAATGTTTGGGATGCCTGCTACCATTCTTGGAGTACGATATGATCGACAATCTCCCGTACTTGGTGGCGTACTGTGTCGCCGTGTTTCCGGTGACGCTGCATCAGGAGATACTGCATCTGCTGTGTTACTACATACTGCCGTTTACAATCAGTGAGTGTCGATACTGTGAAATTCATTCATAGCATGCATATACCTACTTGAATTAATTGTAGGTAGGTTATAGTCCTGTTTGAAGTTATCTACTAGTAAGAGTGCCCATAGTCAAGTAGGGGTGTAGACGACTTATTAAAAATATTTTTATAAATAATTTCTAATTTCCCGCGAAAGCGCCATCATCTGTCATCATGCCATGTACTGTGTATGCATAAGGGTTAATTCTCTAAGATCTGGAGAACGATTATGAAAAAATCCCAACCCTAAATTCGAATTCACTCATGTATCCGAATTCGCGTCATTTAGTGAAGAAATTCTATTGATTCCATTTTTTTTGTATAAAAATACAAAATGAAGATATTTGATTACACATGTCTCAGCTCAGATATTCTATTCCTATGTTATTTCGAAACTCACTTCACTTGTGTTACGAAACGTTATTACCAATTTGAAATTAAGCAGTTTCCACTTTTTGAAGTGATTTTGGAAACCTGAGTGAATTCGAATTCAGGTTTGGATTTTTACAGAAACCCATGGCTGATATGAGTAGATGTGTATGACGTTGTTTGCGGTCACGTGACAATGAGTATTAAATATTTATTTGTTTTTTCGCAATTTATTTAAGCAATATTATAAATATAATAAGCATAAAAGTGTGATTATCGATAATAGTATATAAAACACTACCAGAAAATTAATAATATGTATTTATTTTAGTTTATTGTCTACACCTCTCTGAGTTGGGTGTCGGTAGTTCGGGGATCGTGGTCCAATCGATGTAGTTTGGAAATTGTATACATGTTTAGTTCCTGCGAAACGATTCAGGTATCGCGGCTCCATCTCGTGACTGTACGAGGTCATTGTTGGCTGCTTCGTTGACGCGATGTGATAGTAGTCGCCATGAATAAATTAATATTAGACAACATCACCTATATTGCTCAGATTCTTAATTAAGTAGTTAACGCATTTGTATTATTAAAAACTGTAACAAAGAACTCCGACCAGAGACAATGTAAAAAAGTTAATTGTCCCGGACCTCAGACATGGCGGAACTTTGAAATCCAGGAGTTGCTCTTAGATATAGAATAATATTTGTGATTTGTAGCACAAAGTTTAATAAACGCAGAATCTAATACCATTAAATTTCATAAGTATATTATGAATTTCCAATAATTTATTACTTATTTTAATGAGTTTTAAACGGTGAGTCATGTGACTGCAAACGACACAAGATAAACAATGACGTCATTGTGCAAAATGACAGCCCAGAATAACATTTAAGTGATTAATATTATTGTCGATATCGAGACTCATTTTCAATAAAATTTCAACAAAAGTTATTGTACTTTTATTGAAAGAAATATATTCAAAAGTTTATGATATCTGTTCTACGTTATCTTCTATTTGTAACAGCACGCCGGTATTCAGGACAAGAAGAAGAGAGTCAAGCATCGCAATCTGTCGCTGCTATCGTGATGATGGTATTCCAACATTCAAACAATCCAGGTAAATAAAATATTCATTGATAATCAATGCACATTCCAAACTATTGACTCCAGATTTATAAAAATTGTCACAGTGGTCCATTATCGACCCCTTTTTATCGCTGTCATCCAGTGTCAGCAGCAGTAACGAAAGTTTTGCCAGTATACCTCCTTCATTATCTGAATCACTTGATAAACAGTTTTCCGATGTACCAAAGAATTTCAATGTCGTTCACATCAATGCGCAAAGTATTCCGGCCCATTACTATGATATGCAGGCGGCGTTTGATCATAAAAATCTTCATGCTGTATTAGTCTCCGAGTCATGGCTCAAGCCCTGCTTACCTTCAGCTTCATATACTCTGCCCGGTTTCCAACTTATACGTAACGATCGTACTGGCTATGGGGGTGGTGGAGTTGCCATTTATCTACGATCTAGTATTCCATACAAAATTGTTAGTGCCTCCAGTCAACCACCGCCAAGTAATGCCGGTGAGCACCTCTTTATTGAAGTAACTCTTTCTCATCGCAGAGTCTTACTCGGTGTCTATTACAGCCCTTCAGTTAGAGTTAATTACTTCTCCTCTTTTGAAAACCTTCTGGAGGATATTATTCCGTCTTATGACCATTCAATTATTATGGGTGACTTCAATACCTGCCTTCAAAAAAATGATATCCGTGCCACTTCCCTCCAATCTCTTATTAGATCTAGCAATCTGCAGATTCTTCCACTTGGAGTCACCCATCGTTTTCCTCACTCGATCCCGTCACTTCTGGACTTGATAATAGTTTCTTCAACTCAGTATGTTTCTAAACACGGCCAATGTTCAGCCGACATTTTCTCATATCATGATTTAATATTTCTTTCCTATAAAATTAGGCCTCCTAAATTAAAGCCCAAAGTCATCCTTCAGCGCAATTTTGGTGGTATAGATCAAGATTCTTTTATGGACGATGCTCGTAATATTGATTGGTCTCCTGTGACCAACGCTTCCTCAGTTGACGAGCAAATAACTACTTTTAATAACCTTGTCACTCAACTTTACGATAACCATGCACCTTTTCATCTCATCAAACTTAAGCACCTTCCGGCACCATGGTTAAATAGTGATATAAAATCTCTGATACATAAAAAAGCCATTGCCAAAAGCAAATTTAAACGTAATCCGAGTGATCTCAACAAAGAGAAATATAACAAGGTTCGTAACCACTGCAATATGGTGTGTAGGGATGCTTTACGACGCCACATTCATAATTCAGTCGAAGAGGATGATCCAGCTAAAGTCTGGAGATTCCTCAGATCTCTTGGGATTGGTAGAACACGTCAAGACTCCTTACCTCATCACATTAATATTGATTCTCTCAATTCTCATTTTTCTTCTTCCTCCGATCTTAGCGACTCGGATAAAAATAGAACCATTCAACAACTTTCTACTTTACCAAATCCTGAGTACTCCCCGTTTCTTTTTACTCAGTTTACGGAATGTGATGTTAAGAAGAGCATTTTATCTATCAATTCCAACGCAGTCGGTGCTGATGGAATTAGTCGCAACATGTTAGTACCTATACTTGATTTCATACTTCCTGTCCTTTCCTCTATTTTCAACAACTCTTTATCCAAATCAGTTTTTCCTTCCGCTTGGAAAGAAGCTCAAATTATTCCTCTTCCTAAAAAACCTCATCCTAAATCTTTTTCTGACTTTAGACCTATCTCTATTCTCCCATTCCTATCCAAAGTTCTCGAGCGTCTTATCCATAACCAATTGAATTGTTTCCTTTCTCGTCATGAACTCTTAAACCCTTTTCAATCTGGATTTCGTGTGGGCCACAGTACCACAACTGCATTGATTAAAATCACCGATGATATCCGATTTGGGATGGAAAATGGTCTTTTAACCGTACTAACTTTGTTAGACTTCAGTTGTGCGTTTGACACTGTAAATTTTGACATCCTACTCTCCCTTCTGCGCTCTATTAACATATCTCCATCCGCAACTGAGTGGTTTCACAGTTATCTGTACGGACGCCGGCAACGAGTACGTATTGACGAGAAGTTTTCCTCTTGGTGCGACACGACTGCCGGAGTCCCACAAGGTGGCGTTCTATCTCCTCTTCTTTTCGCAATTTTCATTAACAACATTTCTAAGAACCTTTCTTCTTCCTACCACCTTTATGCAGACGACCTACAAATCTACAGTCAAGCCCCTCCTTCACGGCTAAATGAGGCAGTGCATACCACTAATATTGATTTAGAACGTATAGTAGCATGGAGTAAGTCTTTTGGACTTAAAGTAAATCCAACAAAGACTAACACGATCATAGTGGGTAGTTCTAGGCTGATCGCTAAACTTGACTGGCACCTCCTACCAAAAATTCATTTCGATGGTACTGACATACCTTTTAGTGATACTGTTAAAAACTTGGGTATAATCATAGATCGGAGTCTGAACTGGGGATCACAATTGCAAGCTGTTAGTCGGAAGCTGTATGCTTCTGCTGCATCATTAAGGAGGTTACGTAATTTTTTGCCGACTACCACTAAAATTGCTCTAGCACAATCTCTGTTGCTTCCTTTACTTGACTACGCTGATACCTGTTATCTTGATCTTACGGAAGACCAACTAAATAAACTTGAGCGACTTCAAAACTTCTGTATTAGATTTATATTTGGATTACGTAAATATGATCATATATCTCAATTTCGTACTCAGCTCAAGTGGCTTCCTA